TACTATTGTGAAGTGTGGAACATTTTCTTACGCTGAAATGCTTTATGATTTTGCATATACCGGTGGTGTCAGTGGTACTTTGAAAACACTTGCCGAGGTAGAAAAAGACATACTAGAAACAGTGTATAAAGTGGACCAAACGACGTTTATGTCGTCAGTATTTGGAAATAGTAATCGTACTTATAAATCGAGAACTGATGTGAGTGCAGTAAAAGATATTGAATATTTCATTGAAACTCATGTAGAAATTTATGCTTTATGCAATGCAAGTTATGCGATTCTTATAGTTTGCGAGTCTGAAGAAAAACTGATGTCATTTTAGAACTTCTCTGAATTATCTTCTATAAAGCACGATCTACAAATTATAACGGAAATGGTTTCTGTAGGAGAAAGCGAGCTGTGCATTATACGAGCAGCGGCAGTTGGTAGAGTTACACTATTAATCCGAACATTTGGATTTCATATGCCGTAACCAACAACTCTTATTGAATGGTGGCATTCACGTACTTTAAACATTTTGCTCGGAAGAATAATCCGAAGAGTACCACATTATGGGCAGAAGAGCGCGACAAGAAGATCGTGAGTGATGCAGATTGGTTTTATTAGACAAAGATTTAGAATGGATTCTCCGCTCTACTTGGGAGGAAGAACTTTCGAACGTATTGAGCACTACTCTTCATCAAGTTTTGAACGAGGCTCGTAACGCTCGTTATGAAAGCAAGTGTGATGCAAAAAATCTGGGTACAGAGCAATGGAAGAATGAGCATCAAGCTTCTAAAACTTTTATGGTTGCGTCACCCGCAGGAGATGTAAAAACGGTTAAAAAGCTTTTGAGCAAGGAAACTCGAGGAGCCAATTTAATTACAGCTTCGTCCGGTACAGTTTTGCATATGGATGCCACAGGCCCTATGTCAAGTTTGTTAACGGCAGTTAAAGAAACTGTTTGTACGATGCCTGAACGCGCTTTGGCTGTTGTAGAGGGAAAAGATCTGAACAGTGATGCATTTTAAATGCAACTTACAGTTTACAGAGATTATGATAGTAAAGAAGACAGAGTTTTGCAGAGTTCTTCTTCAGAAACAAAACCAATTGATTTGAAGTCTTTTATGATAAAAATTTCAGCCAAAGGTGGCGGTGATTATGAAAAAGCGATTAAAAATGGTTTATGGCACGCAGTTTAGTAAAATGAACAAACTAAAGGGATTTCTCAAGTACTTTTGATAGGGGATGTGCTAGCAAAAGAAAGACCGGCAATCGACAAAGATAGAAAAGTTAACGGCAGAGAATCATATTGGGGTAAAACTAAATTTAAAGATCCAACTCATTATACAGATGACTTAGAAAAGCTAAATACTAAGAGCATTGCTTTACATACATTTTATTTTCATGACGGTGCAAGAGATAATTTTCCAAAAATTGCAACTGAGACGTCAGGACGTTGCGAGTGATTAGATATTCATTCTCCTCAGGGTGCTGAATTGCTCACTAATTCTGTAACCTATGTAGTTCTTGAAAAAAAAATAATTAGAACACATAAAAAACATTTAGACACTTTTTTACCTGAATATTTGGAATTTCCTCTTACTTTGAATTAGAGACCTCATCGACAGAGGTGTATCTTGTTTTATTAATAGTATGGCTTTCTCTAGTTTAAATAGAGCATATCCTAAATGTAACATCTTCCTAAGAACTGTAGTAAACCCTTTCTGTGTAAAATATTTTAATTTTTTATACATCCATATTAAAAAATTATAACCATACAATGTCATCCACATATTTACTTTCATTTTCTCTTTTTTTGTGTCTTACTTTACTGTACTATTTGTTGTTTTATGTGAAAATAATATAAATACATAATAATAATACGTAAAATACGTAATAATATAATACATTACCTTTTTATTTACATTTTTTATTGTCATTGATCGAACTAGCCGAATATTCTTGATGTTATGTCCTTATTTTTCTATTCTCTTATTTCCTAATTTGTATTAAAACTAATCCCTTACTGACATTTCTTTTGTTTTCAAACTCTTTCAACATTTCATGATATTGTATTCTTTGCTTTTTATGTAATCCTGAACTCTGTTTTAAATACATTGAATCGATTTAAAAAGTGCATTTCAACAAGCAAGAAACAGAGACTAAATAAGTAGATTGTTTGACTATTCTTTCGATTTATAAACGTAACTCCAGCCAAGCCTTACAATAAATTATAATCTAAATAGATAGTTATAGTATTAACGGGGCTCCACTCCCCCAGAAAGTGCTGTCAAACTATGTCGGTTTGACGCGGACACCTGATTACATATATCCTTTAGTTTTTTCGATGAACTGATAACTATTCTATTCACAGAGTTATTAATTAATTAATTTTAAATTTTAATTAAAATTTCGACTTCGACGGTATTGTAAAATAATTCATTATATTTTATTGGAACGTTCGATCAACGTTGCGGTAGAGTTATTTTGTAGACAATCTTTGCTTGTGTATAGTAAACTTTAAAAGGTTTGAAAAGTTTTCCAACGACATAGGTATTTTCAGCGAAACATTGTAAAAAAAAGTGTTTTTTTACTTTTAAGCATAAAAAGTGATTTTTGAAAACCTTGCCAGCGATTGATTACAAAGAATTTCCGAGAAACATTTTCGCTGGCGAAGTGTAGCTGATGTCATTCTGCAAGGTATAAGCGGAGCGGAATTTCAAGAAAAAATTTTGAACAGAAGTTAAATGAAAATTAAAATATTTTTATTTTTAGAATTTGTTAATTAATAAGTTTTTAATCAATATCCATGTCAAGATTTCGAGGGCTTTTTTTGCAGAAAATTGGAAAAATTCAGGTCGGTTGTTTGGAAAAATTTGTAGTAAAATTTCCGTGTCTCACGTAACATCACACGGATGAATTTTCTTCTGCGTTCTTTTGCAGAAACAAAATATTTTGCAATAAAACGCACGAAAAGACCATCGTTTTCCATACATAAAATATTACTCGTATAGTTATCTTAAAGGTTCATGCGGCGTTCGGCAAACAATATCACGGGCCGGTCCATCGAACCCACCCTAAGGCAACCCTCGAGGCCTGGCCCGTTGTCCACTTCCTGAGATGGGGTCCCACAGTCACCCTCACCACTCTCCTTGAAGCTAGCAGAATTTACCTAGAGAAATCTCTACCTAAATTTTCGGTATAAAAAGACCGCTCATATCAGTATATGCTACACATTCTCCGCTTTTTGGCATTATACACTACTTCCGATGACTCATCGATCCGACATGATTTTCTTCCATTGTTAAACCACAAGAAATTTATGCGAAAATTTTATTGAAAAAAAACAAGGCATTTCAGCGTAAGAAAATGTTCCACACTTCACAATAGTG